GTCAAACTGAGAAGCTGCAAAGGATTGCAAGGTGCAGTGAACACTCTCAACAACTTCCCTGGTGAGTTTGTCAAGGGAAGACTGTGCAGATGTCCTGTTTGAAGCAGGTGTTTCATTTTCCTTGGGTTCGCCTGCTTGGGTGGCTCCTCTATCGACAGGTTGCTCCTTCTGCGTGGCTGCTGCCCCTGGCTCAGAAGCTTTGGACGTGCTGGACGCCAGACGCTCCCCCAGGATCTCCAGCACAGTCGCTACGAGCTCTTTGGCCACCGCTTCCATTTCCTGACGGCGATCTAGAGAAGGCTCCGACAGCTCTGCCCTCATGCAGCTGCCCAAAAATCTTCCCCTGATAGCCCGGGCAATCCTCTTTAGGCAGCTGACACGCTGATCCCCAGAAACCTTCAACCTCTCCAGCACCTTTTGCACCACAGTCTCAGCCAGCTCTTCAAGCTTCTGGGCTTCTGCTGATTGCTCAAACAGACCACTGGCAGCAGGGTCTGGCTTCCTCCGAGACTGAGCACAAGTGCCCTTCCTGGCATCTTTCTGGCCTGGATCAGCTCTGGGGTAGATTCGGCCCGATATCAGGGGTGGTTTCTTGGGCTGAGGTGGGCAAGATGTTTTTTGAGCCTTCAGCCGCTGCTCTGCCTGGCGGGAAGTGCTGGTGGCTCCTGACACTTTGGGGCCACGCTTTGATTTGGCCCGAGGTGACTGAGTCCTTTCCTGAAAGGTGACACCAGGTCTTGTCTCGCTGTTGCCTGGACAGATGCTGAGGCTTCCCACAGGTCCAGGACAGCACTCTGCTTCAGCCAGGCAACGAGGGCAGGAGAGAAGGGCTTCCCTCAGGACTCCATATGCTTGCACGTGGCTCTCGTGCCCGTGCTCACCCCAGCACCCTGTGCCAGCTCAGCTCTGAGCCGGGCAGCCCTTTCCTTGCCACAGGGCCTGGCCCACAGCACGGCCCTCCCCTCGTGTGCACTGAGCACCTCCCCTGCAAGGAAAGCCCCAGCCCTCAGCACCACCCTGTGCCCACGAACACACCACTTTGCCCACCTTTTTCCGCAACAACTGCTCTGAATAATTCCTGTGCCTGGTCAGATATTGTCTGTACTCATTGAACTCCTTCAGAGTGCAAATCACCTGTGGAGGGATGAGGGCAGAACCCCCCAGGCACTGTCAAGCCACAGCAGAACTGCCCTCCCTGAGCCAGCCCCAGCCCAGCGGGAGGGGAGCTGCTCCTCTGCTCCCCATTGCCCCCCTTGCCCCGGTGTCAGAGCCCCTGATTTCCCCAGCAGGGCCGAGCGATGCTCCTCGCCCCGGCTCCAGCCTCGCCCCCGCTGCCTCCTCATCCACAGGCAGCAGGGGCAGCCTGGAGAGAGCAGGGCTGGGACTTCCCAGGGGGATGTTGGCACCACTTCTGCTCCCAGGGAAACCAGCCCACAGCCCTGCCCTCTGCCCACAGCAGGAGGCTGCAGTAAGTGCTGGGAACCCGCTTGGAGAGGGCTGTCCTTGATCAGCCCAACATCCAAACCTACGTTATTGTCACGGGTGATGAAGCCTTGTCTCCTGAGCAGCTTCAGGACGTCCTTGCGATGGTGGTAGTCCCGCAGGATGGGGTCGTGCAGGCAGTTGTACTGCATAGTGAGGTGGTGGTTGTAGGGGTCATCCAGGGTGAAATAAGGAAATGGCTGGTGAAGCTGTAAGAGAGATTTTCCAGAGTGTGAAGTCAGGAGAGAGCAGCAAAGAGGTGCCACATGGTACTTATGAAAAGGTAAAGGTTGAAGACTAACTCTTCTCCATCCTTCTGAAGGCACAGAGACCCACAGAGCCAGACTGAGGGGCCAGGCTGGGCTGTGATGGGCTGGGGTAGAGGAGATAAAACCCACCAGCAAATTGGCATCTTATGCCACCAGGAAGAGCTGCAGACCCATTCACAAATGAACCTTCCAAGTGGAAAGGTCCAGCCCAGCATTCAAATGCAGCCAGTGGAGAATGCAGGAAAGTCTCCTCAGCTTGGGCAGGCCCAAGGGCTGTGCTGACTCTGCCCTGGGAATGAGCAGCACAGGCTGGAGGAGGAGGAGGAGGACAGTGTGTGCATTCCCCAGGAAGGGAAGGCAAAGCTGCTCCAAAGACACCACCAAGGCAGGCAGGAGAAGGCTGCAGTGCCCCTCAAAGGTGCCCCAGAGCCTGGCTCGACAGTGCTGGTTGAGCTGGAGGGGCGCATTGCCCCGGCACCCCGACACAAAGTCACCTGCTGTGGGTGTGGGCCCTGC